CTCGTGGCCGTATGCCACGTACCCAACAAGAGAGAAACTCATGGAGGGCTGACTCGTCGCGATCTGTCCGGGCATGAAGCTGAGCTCTCTGGGATACTAGACCAGTGCCTGGAGCTGACAGAGGAACTAGGTATTCCTCAAACGAATGAAGTGTTTGGTGGGAGGAATTTGGAGGTGGATCCAGCGAGGAGGATAGCTCAGCTTGCCACCATGCTATCCGATTCGGCAATACGGTTTCAACAAGAAAAGGGCTTTAACCAAGTGGCTCCCTCCAATAACGTCTCTGGTCCGTTATACAGCACTGCAGGGAGAACTGATCTGGCACCAAGTGATACAGGTTGTTGTGCATCCGTGTTATCTGACGCAGCCACGGGATGCGACCGAAAGGCAGATGCAAATTGGGCGAGGCTGCACAATGAACATCAAAAGCAATTACAAATGACTGGCGAGTATAGGAAACACGAGGCATTAAGCGTGGCAGGTAAAGCGCCGATGCTGTCGGTCTCTGCCGAGGATCTACTGGCACAATCCAGGGGACGGATTGGGGAGAGGAACAGCATTCCTGAATCTTTATTCCAGGAGATGCTTCCCTGCATGGACGACCCTTCTAGGAATTCGGGAGCCAATGTAGGGCAGTACCATCTAGAAGGGGAACGCCTTTTACCTTCCACAGGGTCTGACTACCCGGTGGCAAGCCAGCCTGCTTCCTTGGGTCTCGTTTTACAGGAAGCCACTGGCTCACATGAGAACGAACTAAACTTGCAGAACGAACAGAATATCCCAGATGGTGTCCTAGGGTCAGAATGTAGTTGGCTGAGGAATCCCGAGGACCACCCTTTTGTCCGCCTTCCAATTCTGCAGAAGGATGTTGTTCCCAGAACTTTCAAAGTAGAAGAAGCGTTTGCATCGAAGCTTCTTCAGAATAGCCCAATGAGCATGTACCTTACAATGCGAGAGCTATTCTCAAAGCAGTCATTGAATGCAAGAGACGCGCAAAACCTAGTGTTCACCTGCGAGCGTCTTGTTAACTATGGAATTCACCGGCTTACGACTCCTCTGCCTAGATACACTCCTTTCCTTATCTCTAGGAGATTGGCGAATCTCCTCATGATGTTTGATTACGTGGTATGTACGGCCCATATTATTGGCCCGAAAATGGGGATTGAGCGATGGTGGCAACAGTTCGTCAACCTTTTCCGAATGGATCGCAGTTTGCTTTCACCACCTCGTGTGGGGAGGTTAGGATCCGATCTGTTGGTGCGCATAACTTATCGTCTGATTGATGCTCTGGAAATCTATAGGACTGGGGGACGCCCGTCTGCTCTGGAAATAATCCAGTTGAAGCGTTTGATTTTGTGTCACTTGAGAGCACATAGCCAGTTTGAACACCCGCACTGGGTTCGTTGGGTCGAAGACGACGAAGAATTTTTGCAGAAACGTCGGGAGTCCTCCTCGTGACATTTGTTTGGAGAGAGAGAACCGGAAATTAAAGGCATTCCGCAGAATTGCTCGTTTCCAGCAATCTTAGTTGTAGGCAGCCATTCTGTTTGCCTTTCAAGCGTTTCGCCCGGTCGCCAGTGCTCTCTGCAGGTTCTTGATCGCTTTGCTGGGCCTGCATGCCTATCATGCGCACGGAATAATTTCCGTTGCCATTTGCGTCTTACCGATGCCTCTGATGGCTAACCAAACTAAATTAGTTCCGTCAGGTTGCGAAGCTTGCTGTCAAATTCCGGAGAGCATCGCAGGAGTGGAAGGCGTTGTACTGAAGGAACCGAAGGAACTGAGGAGCAGGTATCTGACTGTTCACACTGGATATGGCTGGTACCAAGGCAATAACGCACAGCCGCACGCAGAAATTACAACAGTGATGGTTTAACTGTTCTCTTCAGGTAGGGTTATCGTGCACCTGTACAGCGGCTGAGCAAATGAAGTGTTTGGAAGTCATTGGAGCATTCCTTTCGCCCTGCGAAGGCCATCGTCTACATCTCTATAGATTTTCCTCTCAGAGTACAGATTTGGTAAGGATCTTTGACAGGCATGCAGCGTTGGTATAGAGAAAGTGGATCAGCGTCCCTAGCCGTCCGAGAGCTCAGGCCATCGATGTTTGGGCGTTCCATGGTTAGGTGTCATTTTAGCTGGTCCGACACCGGTGCCGCACCCGTTTGAAGATGCATCTGTGTGACGTGTTAAAATGCATTTTGAAGTACGTGCTTCTCCGCTATGATGCCGGTTGCTAATACCACACAACCAAGCGGGATGCAACGATCACAAGTGGTGTCGGAAGAACCACTAGAACACCCCTCTACCCTTCCTTGTCGAGTAGGTTTCCACGCTGGGAACTTTTCCGCGTTTCCGGTTGTTGGGGCGAGTAGCAGCATCGCTGCGACAGCAGCGATAATAACGAGAGTAGTTTAGGGGCCCCTCTGCTGCTGCAGCCAGCAAGGGGCACTTCTAGTGCACCTTTAGCTGCAATGATCTTATCAAGGGCTGCCCGAACCTTTTTATATTACGCTGCCCCCTAATTATAGAAAGAAACCTCGGATGAGTTCAAGTGCCCATTAAAAGTGATTATCCGCTTCGTCATCACCTGCCTTTACCTTCGCACGCCTCCTTTGGCACACTGCTTTCCGTATTTCCGAATTCGCGGTGGGAGTTGCTTCCATTGTTGTGTAAGGCGAAGAAAGTAATCCCCTCGTGGTCTGCACGACTTGTACAATTTCAAGAAGGAGAATTCCGAGCGGTACGTCGAACACTCCGGGTAACCCACATCACACTCAGCATGAGCTGCAGGATGTATATATAAATGCTTCTATCAGGATAGAGGATATTTTACACAGGGGTCTTTGAGAAGCTACCAAAGCATGCTTGAGCAAGTGGCGCTAAGGGTATGTGATAACTGGGAGAGGAGTGCGTCAAAAAGGAACTGGCGATGCTACACAGCGCGTGGAAAGGAAGGGAAGTGAGCTGACAACGCCGAGAAGAGGCCAGTAAGTGAAGTGGAGGAGTAGCAGTATGGGCAGCAGAATTGACGTGGGCGATAGGACAAACGCGCCTCCTCACATTTAGGTGAACGCGTTCGAGCCCTAGCAGGCGGCAACGCGGTAGAGGGATTACACGAGCGCACAGTACGACCGTGTCACCAGTGCCCCTAAAACTAAAACTAAGGACTACGTTGCTAGTGGTTGGCAGGCAACATGAAGAAAAAAGCGAGCGCATCTGCAACCGAAACAACGGATTCCCAAGCTAACAGTAGACGAGCCCGACAAAAAAAACACCTGTGCCAAGGCCCGCCACAAAGGGACGTACGCAACCCCGAGAAAACGGACAATAGTAGTCTGCGGTGCTGATGTGAGCATGAAAAAAGGGTCTTGGGTATGCTTGTACGGGAGCTGCCAGGCCGGAAGAGTTGCAGCAAGTTTCGCTACAACTCTGGGCAGGCCGCCTCCTCCCTCGCGAGCACAAGCGAGTGACCCAGTGTGCTTAGGATAGAGGAAGACAGATGGGAGCCTCAGCCATTTTTGGGGGACATTCATCATAACTGTTTGACTCAGTTGAGGCTCACAACTTTCCTATACTACTGCAGAGCATTCTGCTAAGCTGGGAGAGGTCCCCCCTCTCCTTTCCAGCCCGAGGAACTGCTGCTGTGGTCACGACCTTTGTACAGAAGAAGGAAGACCATCCTACTTTTGGAGAAATATTATCTTCAACGTTTTGATTGTTGCACCTCATGGAAGTTCCACTCTAAAGCGGATTGTAGCTTGAGCTGCCCGGTGTTCGTACATGTATCTCAATGTGCATACCAGTTGGCCACACAAGGATTATACAAGTGCTAAACACTTTCAAGCAGCATTAGCACATATCAAACGGGGGCTTGGGTAAGCGTTTATGCGGGATTGCCTTGCAACAGAAGCTGCGGCACGGTGTGCTGAAACCCAAACCCACGCCCTACTGACTCAGGGACGATCTTGCGCCATTGCCACCAGGAGGCCTGGAGTCCAGGGTGGAGATCAGCTTC